TTAATTTTTTTTTTTTTTTTTTTTTTTTTTTTTTGATTAATGTAATTAAAGAAAAAAATCGTCTTTTTTTTTGCATTTTTTATTTGAGAAATATTTTTGGAGTAAAATTCTTTTCAAATTTTTTGTTTTTTGCAGAGATCACTGGTTTATGTTTTTATTTTCATTACCGTATTACGAAATCTGTAATATATCTTTAAAATGACCACTGACAATATGTAAAATCTAAATTTCCTCTTTCTTAAAAAAAAGACATATTTCACTGAATTTTTTAAGTTTAAATGAAACTTACAATTATCAAGTACTTTTTTTTATCGCATATTAAGTAAAAAAAAAACCTTCCCCAAAAATCAAGCAAAGATGAAGATTAACATATTTTAAGTGGATAGCTGAAATTAGCAACTGAATAGAAGGCAAACAGTTTGCTAGGTAAAGAATTATCAAATCAAATTAAATCCAACTTCCAAACATTTATCAAAGTTTCCAAGTTGCACAACAACAATGCACACATTCACACAGTTTCACGCATACACTCACTTATAACCAAAAACTGACACAGATTTTTGTAACTGAATTTGTGTTTTTATTGCTGATGTTGTTTTTGGCATCGATATTACCACTGTGCAAAAAAAATGTTGGCAACCATCGCTATCATGGCATTCGTCAAAAATATTTTTCCTCTATTTATTATTATTATTTATTTTTTTAACTCAAAAATAACTATTTTTTTTCTTCCTGACAAATGTACCATTAGGTACCTTCAAAAAACATGGTCGTCATTTTTAATCTTCCTATTCTGTTTTGCTTGTCGACGTCGATTTCTTTTATTTTTGTTTCTTCATTTTTGCAGCTTCGACCATTTAATGAAATAGAGCCAAACATATTTTTATGGTGCCTTGCAGTGCCACATCATCGGAACTGCAATTCGTTTGTCTTGTCTTATTTTCATTTTTTTTTCAGAAAGAAGAGTTTTTTTTTGTGCGTGTGCGTGTGTGTGCGTGTTAGTTGAATCGAATTTTAAAATTGGTTATGCATTTGAAAGTGGTTAAAGAAGAGAGAAAATAAGCAAACAAATAGTTTGAAGAGTACTTAGTGATTACCAAAATACAAAGTCACAAGTTCCTTGACGAAAAGTCGAAAAAAAAAAAAAGAATCCAACTGATAACAAATTAAGTATTTGTATAATTTTTGAATCATTAAATTTGTGTTTGCCATGGCAAAAAAAAAAGCATTATAATTGTTCGATTCTTCGTTATTATGCTATCGCCCTCACAGTGGTAAGAATAACGACTGAAAACACTTCTTCGTTTAGTTTCATTGATACAGGTTAAAATTCCTTGCTTAAATTGTTTAAATTAATTCTACAAGCTTTCAAGATTCATTCGTTTGTATGACATTGCCTTTTTACCTTTTATTTGCTTTGATAATGTTTAGTTATTCTTTCAAGTAAAAAATTTAATCTGCTTTTTGTTTTCGCTATTTATTGTAGTAATAATGTTCGGCAATGAGTTTTAGATATCTCTAAATTAGCTGTCTGATAAGGCTCAGTAGGACAGTTATATGAAACCAAAACCTTAAACTTATGGATAACTCATACTGATCTATCTTCATTTTAGTAAGAGCATCAACAAGTCAACTGTAGGCTGTAGTTAAGCAAAAATTTGAGACAACACTCCTTATGTGCTGTTTACACAGTGGCTATTGTCTGCAACATAATTTCATATTCTATGCCTGCTTAGACTTTTTCTGCATAAGGCAGAAATTTTTAGTGATCAACTACTTTTTTTTTTTAAAGTAACAAAACACAAAATTCGCAATTATTTTTGATGACTTACAACTGAATGACCATTTTTTCTTGAACACAGGATAAACAAAATTATGACAGCAGTACAATATAGTGTCCAATATTTTCTTGTCTGTGCCACTTGATATCTGACAATATTTTACTCTAATGTTTTTTCGGCTTCAAAACAGACCAACAGATGAACCGTTTTTTTCCTTTCTTTCTCCCTGGTCTATCCAACAAATTTCATTCAATCCATTAGTTCAAGCGTTATCAGTGAAATACAGGGAAGATTTAGCGTTTTCAGATTTGACTGTAAAGTTATCTTAAATTACAGATAAAGGTTACTTAATGAATCTAAAATAAAAATGAATATTGCAGTCTTAGGGAATCTAGAGGAGCTATCCATGCAATTACTGCCCGTGAATTATCGCTTGTCATTCACACTACTTACAGTTACTTTTTTTTTATAGAATTAGTTCAGCGCCTCTTACGTTGCATTCAGTTTACGGCAGTTTACGGTTTCCTGTAAAATACTGTACATTCTGAACTGCGATTTTAGTGGGTAAAATTTTGTTGACTGTAGATAGGAAAAGGTAAATTAAGTGGTATTTACAGCTTTGCTATTGAAATCCAATTGCCAGTATCTTGAAAACTGATTGTAGTTTGACATTAATCCTTGTAACCTCTTCACGCTTTGTATCTGTGAAAAAAACGCCAAAGGGATGAAGGATGAGGAATCGGTGAAAAAAAAAGTTTATGTAATATTTTTATTTTGCAGTTATACTTGTAGCGTTATTGGCGACATTTACTTTGTCTCCAGTTTCACGTTCGGCTTTTTTGTTTCAATACTTCCATCCCGTCCCGGTCACATTTATTTCTTCATTTTTGTTCAAATTTCTAAAGGTTTTTTTTTTTGAACTAAACAAAAAATACAAGAATTTTGTTTTATTTTTTGCCTTCCTCTATATCGATTCTTAAATCGGTTAAAAGGC